CTCAGGGACACAGTGCACTGCAGAAGGCCGCAGGGACCTCTGCCCAAAAAAGCCTGTGTATTGTCCAAGGTTTCCCCCCCCCCGAGACAGCCTGACATATGGCCTTGTGGGAAGGGCAAGACCTGACCGTTCCCCAGCCCAACACCCGTAAAGGGTCTGTGCTGAGGAGGATTAGTAAAAGAGGAAGGCCTCTTTACAGTTAAAATAAGAGAAAGGCATCTGTCTCCTGCTCGTCCCTGGGAATGGGATGTCTCAGTGTAAAATCCTATCATACATTCTATTTACTAAGATAGGAGAAAACCACCTTATGACTAAAGGTGAAACATACTGGCAGCAATACTACTCTTTACTACACTAAGATGTTTGTGTAAAGTCAAACATAAATTTGGGCTCCGTACACAACAAGACACAACACCTTTCCTTAAACTTATTTATAACACAGAGTCCTTAACTCACATGTTTTCCTACTGACCCTCTCCCCACCATTACCCTATAGTCCGGCCACATCCCCCTCACAAAGATGGTAAAAATAGTAAGCAATAAATACTAAGAAAACTCAAGAGACCTGTGCCGGTGCAGGTCCTCTGTATACTGAACACCGGTGCCCTGGGTCCACTTTTCTTCCTCTATACTTTGTCTCTGTGTCGTATTTCTTTTCTCAGTCTCCACAGGTGTGGAGGGGCAGGCTCCCTTCAGGCAGGTGGATCACTTGAGGCCAGAGTTCGAGACCAGCCTGGCCATCATGGTGAAACCTCGGCTCTACTAAAAATACAAAATGTAGCCAGGCAAGGTGGCACATGCTGGTAATCCCAGCTACTTGGGAGGCTGTGGCACAAGAATCACTTGAGCCCGGAAGGTGGAGGTTGCAGCTGAGCCAAGATCGTGCCACTACACTCCAGCCTGGGCGACAAGAGCAAGACTCTATCAAAAAAAAAAAAAAAAAAAAAAAAAAAATCAATAAATGGTACTGGGGATGGGGACAGAAGGTTAAACTACCCCTCAAAACATACACAAAAACCATTTAGAATCAACTGTCAATTTCAACGGTAGAAACATATCAATAAAG